CCGGTGGCGCACTATCCACTGCGCCACCGGGCCGGCCCAAAGGGGTTACATTTTTATAGGTTTACATTTTTATGTTTAACTTAATTTTTAGAAAATCAGTGCAACAAAAGCCAATTTTTAACTTGAAAGTTTTTCTGTCTCGATTTATCCTTTCATCCTTTCAAATATATCTTCTTATATTTTTTGTAGTGTGAAGCCTCATTTTAGGTCATCCAGTGGTTCAGAACAATCAACAGAGGGCTCTGTGTCATTGGGAGATGGACCATTGAACAGATCTAGTTTAAGGAACTTTCCAACTGAACGGCATAACCCTACAGTAACAGGACATCAGGAGCAAACTTATCTTCCAAAGGAGACTCCCACTTCACAAATGGAACAGAATGGGGACTATAGTAGGGGCAGGTAAGGAAATATGGGTATATGAAAATTCTTTGATCATAATGTGATCATGCTGAATATTTGAAAACCATAATCTGGTGATTTTTGTTTAACTTAGTTATCAGTATATGGTTATGCTATATACATTGTTTGCAGAACATGGGTTAATAGTTTTTTATAGTTAAAGAAATATGGAGTTACCTATGTAGAATATAGCTCTGAATCAGAGGTTTATAAAGTTATTCTGAAGTTCTTAATAGTTGAGGAAACTGTATAGCTTTCCTTTATAGCTGAGGAAAGAACAGCTTAGAAAAATAAGATACTCATCTACCTTATAGTTTTAATTTCTTCCAGCTTGTAAACTATTGGAGTAGAATTACATATTGCCTACTGTACCTAAATCAAACCCTAATATGCTTCTGGTGTGGAGGGAGTGCTGCTAATAAAAACGGGCCCAATTCACTTCGTGGTAGTGGTGGTGGTAGTAGGTAAAGTTTTTGGTAAAGTAGCTCAGGATCCCTTCAGAAGAATAATATATATCTTTTCATAATAATGGAGAAGTGTAGCCCCAAATATAGAAAGTATAGGTACTTAAATATAAATCTATCCATCTTTGATAGAGTATGTATATTTGTGGAATCTTATGAGTTGTCCCACTCTCTTTTTGTTGTTGTTAAAAGGAGAACTCTTTTCAGAGGTCGAAGACGACGAGAAGATGACAGGATCCCAGTAAGTATTTTTAACTTTTAATTACAACATTCAAACTTTTTTCTTTTGTGATTTATTGTGTCGTTGACTTGTCTTTTTTTTCTAGGTTTATTGATTATAGTATTCAGCAAAGGGAAACAGAGCCTACCACTACTCACATACCGTCCTCAAGCACACACAGTTAGGAGTTTGACTTGTGTTGCTCACTTTTAAAAAATATTATTTGAATATCTAAATTAAAAATATGAAATGTTTAACTATTGCTTTATTGATGGACATTTAAGTAGTTTCAATCTTTTGCTCTTACAGACAGTGCTATTAAAACAATGTGATGATATCCTTATACAACCATTATTTGCCATGTGTGCATTGTATTTGAAGGAGAGAATCCCTAGAAATGGGACTTCTGGGTCATAATTCAATAATTGTTGCCAAATAGTCTTCTATAGAAGTTTTGCCAATTTTCATTCCCACAAACAGTGAACAGAAGTTTCTGTTTATCTATAGCCTTACAGAGTGTGTTGTTTTGGTTTTTTAATTCTTTTGTTGGGGTTGGGGGATGGTTTTCTTCCAGTCTTAGAGGTTATATCATTCACTCTTAAAACTCCGTTGGTTTGCCATCTCTTAACTTGGGACAAAAGAGTTGAGGAATAAAAATGGTGTGGGAGGGCAAGGAGGTCTCAAGAAAACCCCTCTAGAATTTACAGATAGATCATAAATGTGTAAGATAATGCTTATTTTACATGTACAGAGTTTTGTAGTGAGCAGAAATCCATCTTCAAAGAAGAAAATGGATTGCATTATAACACAAAGAATAGTCTTTAGGGCAAACTGAACCTTTTAAAACGATGTTGTTTTTCATTTATTACTTTCTATATTATGGGCAGTCATGAAACTAGGCAATGACTCTTTATCTTAGCATGCCATTTATAATGGTCTATGTGACTCCTGAAGTGGTCCTCAAAAATTGGGGAGAGGAGAGATTCAGCTTAGGGTCTGTTTGATATGTTGGAAATGTCAGGATTAAGGACTAAAAGTTGGAGTGGAGAAAAAGGAGACCGGCTGTATAGAGGGAGATCTTAGCTAGAAATAAAGTTTAGGATTTGTAAGCTTACAAGTAGTAATTGAAGTAATAAGAATAGATGAGATTATGTAGGGTACTCTCTAAAGAGTGAGTAATAAAAGAGGTCCAAGAATGGAAACTTGAGAAACATAGTAGTAGCTTGGGGCTGAAAAATTAGATTATTAATTATGTTATTTCAGGTATCTAAGTGAAATCTGAGTAGAGATGGCTAATAGGCAAATGGATGTCTGGGTTTCAGGTAAAGGCCTGGACTGGAAATATTTAAGGTATACAATTCAGTGATTTTTCATAAATTTACAGAGTTGTACAGCCATCACCACCAAAAAGTGAAAAAGATTCTTTTAAGAGTTGTTTGCATATAGGTAGTAGTTGAAGCTGTGGGTAATGAATATCACCCTAGGAGAATATGGAAAGTGAAAAGAATAGTAACCAAACAGAAACTGGAAATCATCAAAATTTAAAAAGTGGGCAGGGAGAGAAGAGCACATGATTGTCAGATCTGAGAAGAACCGAAAGAAGGAGGTATCAGAGAAGCTAAGGGAAGAATGAGCACCCAAAGGAAAGAATGATTAACATGTCAAATGCTATAGTGAAGTCAAGAAAAATAAAGCAGTTTTGCATTGTGGTAGACATTGTTGCCAAAACAATTTTAGTGGAGCAATGAGTACAGAGGTGAGGAAGTGGAGGAGGAGATACAAGTGAGAGGCTGTCAGAGGATATACAGAAAGGAAAGATGAGATTTTCAAACATTATAGAGGAAGGATATTGTCTTGAGACTGTCTGGAAGGAGAAGAGATGAGGCAAATTTAGGTGAGGTGGAGTTTTTGTTTGTTTTTATTTTTGTAATGGAAGGGAGTGTGGCAAGTTTAGAAAGAAAAGCATGGAAATTGGTTTGAAGGTTTAAGGAGTGTTGCAAAGTTTGTAAAAGAAACAGAAGAGGATAGAGCTGACTGAAGATAAGTAGGACCAATAAAGACTAATGAGAGGTCAACTGAGATGAGAAGCCAAGAATTTATAGGAAGATCATTCTGTGCATTGGGGTAGAGGTTTTGTTTGTTTCTTTCTTTCCTTGCAGCTTTTTGCTTCTGTGGCACAGAATTAGAGAAAGAGATAGGCCTGTGTCCTGTTTTATGATTTGTGTCTTTTAGAGACCCCATCCTTCAACAGCTGAAACAAAGGCTCCAACACCAAAGTTTGACTTATTAGCCTCAAATTTTCCTCCTCTACCTGGAAGTTCATCAAGAATGGCAAGTGAACTTGTTTTGGAGAATAGGATGTCTGATGTTGTTAAAGGTGTCTACAAAGAAAAGGTAAACATTGATGCATTCAATATGGTTTTCTCTTATCTTATGGGATCATATTTAAGCTTCGTTTTCAGGGTTATTATTTAAATTATTATTTGCACTTAGTGTGTTTTTCTATCATAGTTTTTGTTCATTTTTTGTTGGCGAACCAGTATGGGGATCTAAACCCTTGACCTAATTGTTACCGACAAACACCATACTCTAACCAAGTGAGCTAACCAGCCAGCCCTTCTATCATAGTTTTTATTCATGGAGTTCTCAGCTTACTTTGAGTGTACTGAAAAGATTTATGGTAAAGCTACACAAGGTCAATAAAATGTTTCTTAACCTTTGTATGTCTTTGGATCTGTCAGTTCAACTTGGTAGAATGAATAATGCAGGTTAAATGGAAGGTGTCATTTCCACTAAGTGCTTATAAATTAACCAGTGATTTAAACAAATTCTAAGCTAACTTGGTACACTTGGTCTTTTAAATACTGGAGGGTAGTTGTCAAAAGGTTGGGATACTCCATCCTACAATATTTTTTGAGCATAGACCAGTCAATATCTGAAATCCTCATATCCCACAAATTTCTTATTTTCCACCTTTTTCAATTCAGTTTTTGTTTTTATTATAACAGTACATGTACATAGTATATGTAGGCTTGTAATGAAAAAAACAGTAGTCCCCTACAACTGCATTAAGCTCCTTAGCTTTTTCTCCTGACATTTATCCCTGTATTTCTTTTTAACATGGTTTTACTGCTCTCCCTTGATTTTTCAATTTTAAATATTGTCTATTAACTTTACATTCTAGAAGCTAAAGATTTAGCTCTCTTAAACCAACATATCTATACTTTTCCCATCCCCCAAGTATATTGTACTTCATCATACCTAAGATATCAATTGTAATTTTCCCATTATTTTAGTATTGCTAAGAAAGTAAAAGGCATTGCCAGTTACACTAGGACATGCCATCATTTGTAAGTCATATCTAAGCATTACATTTTTTTTTCATAGCCAAGACTCACAGTATACTATGATTATTTCTCTTTTCCTGTACACTCTCAGTGGCCTGCTGCCTAGCTGTTTTCCTGGTGTTTCTCTGCACCATCATCCTGGGAATTTTCCTTACTCTCCTTTATTAGATTCCCTTTTCTTCTTGCTCTTGTCTCACTCTTCCATGTTATGGTGGGTCACATCTTCCAGAGCTTCCTGAATAAGTGGTCATGACATATACATTTCTTGATCTTGCATTCTGAAAATGGTTTTCTGGTCTCATACTTGATCAGTAGTTTATCTCTGTAGAATTCTCTATTAGAAATCATTTCCCTCAGAATTTTGAAGGCTTTTTTTTTTTTTTTTTTTTTTTTTGTCTTTTTCCGTGTCCGGCAACAGATCACAACCCTCAGTGTTGCCCCCGTACCGGACCGGGGACCGTTGTTTATTCATTTACTAGTTGATGGACGCTTGTTTCTACCTTTTGGCTATTATGAATAATGCTACTATGAACATTTGTATGAAAATTTTTGTGTAAACATATTCTTCTCTTGGGTATTTACTTAGAGTACCTAGGAGTTGAATTGCTAGGTCATATGATAACTCTGTTTAACTTTTTTTTTAAAGATGACTGGTAAGGGGATCTTAACCCTTGACTTGGTGTTGTCAGCACCACACTCACCCATTGAGCTAACCGGCCATCCCTATATAGGGATCCGAACCCATGGCCTTGGTGTTATCAGTACCACACTCTCCCGAGTGAGCCACAGGCCAGCCCTTGAAGGTATTTTTTCACTGTCTTCCCTCATTAAAAAATATTGTGAAATACAATAGTTATTTCATCAGTTCTAAGATATACATTTTTTCATGTTTTAACCATCTTCAGAAATCAGGCTGTCTTATAATTAAAAGCTATCATAGTTTAAGTGGCAGTGTTTTTTCTTTGTAGTACATAGAATACTGGTGTGTTTTAAAATTGAAGGCTCCTTAAATTTGGTGAGCTGTGATACACACACATATACACACACATAATAGTAAAATGTACTTCCCCTTGTAATCCCAAGCCAAATTATGGGCTGTAAACATCCAGAGTATCTTAGCAGTGACACATGTATCCCCTCCCTATTTACAGTCCTTCATCTTCTTTCCCTGTCCCTCCCACTTAGATACCTGCTTAGATATAAACATTACCCTGACTTTGTGATAATGTACTTTTTTTTTTTTTTTTGCTTTTCTTTATAGTTTTATCATTCTGGGTTGGTGAGCTTTTTCTGTAAACAGCCAGATAGTAATTATTTTAGGCTTCATGGGCCACGTACTGTCACATATTCTTTGTTTGTTTTTATAACCCTTTAATAACTTAAAAACCATTCTTAGCTTACGGGCCATACCAAAACAAGTTGCAGGCTAGATTTGGCTTGTAGGTCTTAGTTTGCCAACCCCTGCCCTAGACAATATATTGTTTAGTGTCCCTGTTTTTGAACACTATGTAAATGGAATTGTACAGTATGTATTTTTCTGTTATTTATTTTGTTCTTTGTAATTTGCGATTCATCATTGTTGATACAGATGACTGTAGTTAATTTTGTGCTGTTGTGTGATATTCTGTTATAGGAATATAACCTTTATTCATTTATTCTACTGTTGACAGACATTTGAGCTGTTGCCATTATAAACAATGCTGCTATGAATGTTCAAATTGTCTGTTCATTCTTTAGTGTTTGTGGATGAAAACAAGTTTTTAATTTTAATATGGTCGTATTTATCAGTCTTTTTTTAGTGGTTTGTTCTTTTTATATCTTGCTTAGGAAATGATCTAGCTTCCAGAGGTTCTTTTGGGAAACCTAAGTGTTCTGATTTTTGGTCTCGATCTCTATGACCTGTTTTCTCCCTCTCTGGAGGCTTTTAAGATCTTTTATTTATTCCTGATATTCTGTGAAATTTCATGATGATGTGTCTTGGTATGGCTGTTTTTTTAATTCATTGTACTGGATGTTCAGTGTTCCCTTTCAGTTTGGAAACTCATATTCTTCCATGCATAGAAATTTTCCTGTATTATCTCTTTGATAAATTCTTCACCTCTCTTCTCTCTTTCTTGAATTTCTGATTGGAGGTTGAACCTTATAGTTTGAACCTGATTTTCTTGTTTTGGCTTTCCTAATTCTTATCTTTGTTCTTGTCTGTTTTTTACAAAGTTTTCCTGAATGTTACCTTCTAATCCTATTAAATTTTATCAATCAGTTTTAATTTCTAGGGCTCTTTCTTGTTTTGGGGGTTATTTTTCCTCCCTTTTAAAAATTGTGGTAAAACACACATAACAGAAAATTTGCCATCTTAACCATTTTAAGTGTGTACAGTTCAATAGTGTTAACTACCTTCACATTGTTGTGCAGCTGGTCTCCAGAACTCTCATCTTGCAAAACTGAAACTCTATACCCATTAAACACCACCACCCTGTTTCCCCCTTTCCTTAGCCCATGGCAACCACCATTCTACTTTGTCTCTATAAATTGACTCCTCTAGCTATCTCATGTAAGTAGAATCATATGGCATTTGTCTTTCTGTGACTGGCTTATTTTACTTAACATGATGTCCTCAAGTTTCATCCATGTTGAAGCATATGTTAGTACTTCATTCCTTTTATTGCCAAGTAATATTCCATTGTATGGATATATAACATTTGTTTATTCATTTACTAGTTGATGGACGCTTGTTTCTACCTTTTGGCTATTATGAATAATGCTACTATGAACATTTGTATGAAAATTTTTGTGTAAACATATTCTTCTCTTGGGTATTTACTTAGAGTACCTAGGAGTTGAATTGCTAGGTCATATGATAACTCTGTTTAACTTTTTTTTTAAAGATGACTGGTAAGGGGATCTTAACCCTTGACTTGGTGTTGTCAGCACCACGCTCTCCCAAGTGAGCCACAGGCTGGCCCCTCTATGTTTAACTTCTTAAGAACTGCCAAATTGTTTTCTAAAGCAGCTGCATCATTTTACTTTGCTATCCTCAGTGGATGAAAATTCTAATATCTCTATATCATCACCAGCATTTGTTAATGTGTGTCTTTTTTATTATAGCCATCCTAGTGGGTATGAAGTAGTTTCTCATTGTGGTTTTGATTTGCATTTCCCTAATGAATAATGATGTTGAGCATCTTTTCATGTGCTTATTGGCCATTCATATATCTTCTTTGGGAAAATGACTAAGTGTAATTCTGAAATATCTTTTGACTTTAAGGATAATGAAGAGTTGAGAGTTAGTCGCCCAGTGCCTGCAGAGGATGAGCAGACAGACTGCCCTTCTGCCCAGCAACCCAGTATGAGTGCCAGTCCTCCATGTGCAGCTGAGCTTCCTGCATTAAGGTACAAGTTTCAGTATGGAAGGTCTTCCACATTAAATTACTTTTTTCTCTGAACGGTTACCTCTTCCTATGTCCTATACTAAATCTAATGTCAAGCTATTTTTTCTTTAGCACAATTCAGCAAGAAAAGGATCTAATAGACGATTCTACTGTGCAGAAGGATGTTCTCAACCAGATGACTATACCAGTGTCTTCCCCAAGTACTGCAAAGCCATCAAGGGCAAATACTGCTTCACCATGTAATAGTAACATAAATGCATCTGTAACCATGGCCCTACAGGTAACTTGGAGAGTTTACTTTATGTGAGAAAAAATATAATAGATTAGATAATAAAAAGTTTTTTTCACATAACACATATCTCTATTAGAGCAGAGTCATTTGGAAGTAGCCCATATTGGGGCTGCCTGCATCAGAAAGAAACTAAAGGAATCTAAGGGTACTATGAAGAGACAAGAAGTTTTAGTCATATTGAAGGAGAATTTACTATTCATTCAGGGGTTTTTTGGGATGAGGGGGCGAGGTGTTTGGCAGCTGGCCAAGGTAGGGATCTGAGCCCTTGACCTTGGTGCTACATTCTGTTTCTTTTTCCTTTTTTCTGATCATATTACGGTAAAGTGAAGCCTATTTCTTATCCGGGTTATTTCATTTTGGGGCTAATGTAAAGAGCTCTTGAGCTTCTTGAAATTCTTTTTCTTGTATGTATGATGCATAACAAGTCTATGACCCCATTGAGGGTCCCACTGCTACTTGTATTCAAGTTCCAGAATCATTTCATAATTTTGTAATTGGGAAAATACAGAAAAGCAGGAAAAAAACCCACAATATTTACCCCTAATCCTTTTATTCAGTGATATAACTAATAGTAGTTTAGTACAACTCATTCTTTTGTATAGCTTAACATTTTATCTTCTCATTTAATGATAATAATAGAATAAGAACTACCATTTGAGTGCTTAGTATGTGCTAGGACGAGCACTAAACACTTTAGGTGCTTTATTCTATTCTCACAACACTCCTATTCCACCTTTTTCAGTCAAGGTAACAAAGACTTTTAATTAGTCTTCTATTAATATATTACTGGTTTCCAACTCTTCTGCCAAGATTCTTGTGGATTCTCTTTTGGGGTTCTTTTTAGCAAGGGAAGAGAGGGCGGAACCATTTTATTTTATCATGTGGACATATCATTACTGATTTAATCTGTTCTTCCTTGTTAGACAGTGAGGTTGTTTCCAGTTCTTCCATCTCTATAGACAATGCTAACATGAACATCCTTCAGATAAATTCTTCAAGTGAAATTATTGTATCATAAATAAATTTCTAAGGCTTTTTATTATTTTCAACATATATATTTTTTGGAAGATTACAATGTGGATGAGAGTGCCTATTGCCCTTTCTTAGAAGATAACTTAGGCTTTTCTTGTGTTTAACATGATCCTTTTTGTACTTTATTATTTAGAGAATGTGTACCATAATTTTTTTTTTGTTTCTTATCATCACTTGAAAGGAACCCCGAAAGTTAAGTTATGCTGAAGTGTGCCAGAAGCCTCCTAAAGAGCCATCTCCAGTTCTTGTGCAGCCACTTCGGGAACTTCGCTCCAATGTAGTGTCTCCCACCAAAAATGAAGAGAATGGAGTTTCTGAAAAGTCTGTTGAGAAACCACATGAGAAACCAGAAGCAAGGGCTAGCAAGGATTATTCTGGCTTCCGAGGCAATACCGTTCCTAGGGGAGCAGCTGGAAAAATCAGGGAACAGAGACGTCAGTTTAGCCATAGAGCTATACCTCAGGGAGTGACTCGACGTAATGGCAAAGAGCAATATGTGCCACCCAGATCACCAAAGTAAAAAAAAAAAAAAAAAAAAACTATTCAAATTCTTCTCTCTCTTCCCATTAAACTTGAGCCGTGGCTATATTGAACTGTTTTGAAGGGGAGGGGATAGCTAGGAAGGAAACCGGAGAAAGTACATCCTTAAATCATTATGTATTTCGGCGTTGTGAGCGGTAGAATTCCAAAATTCATCTCTAAAGTGATTTTTAAATGCTGGAGGATTCCAATCAGTATAAATATATATATATATATATATATATACACACACACACATATATAAAAATATAATTTTTCTATTTTTGTTTTTGATTTTAATTTGCAGAGATTTTCTGCCTGGAATCAATTTTTGAGGGTTCAGATTTAGCTTGGAAAAAAAAAATTATACATCCTTCAGTATAGGAGATGAGGGAGTGAGAGAAAATATTTTTTGAAGAAACATTTCTGTAAAATTAGAAATTACCTTTTTTAATCTATTTAAAGTTTGGCTTGAAGAATGACATCTCTGACTATATGGCCTTGTGTTGCGAAGCAGATCAGTGGCTGGGGTGCCTGTTGTGGGTGTGAGTGTGTATAAGAGTGATTGAAGGCAAATCTGTTGTCATCTTAGTAAATGATTTGAAAATTGAATGTAATACTTGAGTAGATTTTTTTTTCTAGTTTGAAATTTAGTCTGTCTTTTTGACCTTACTAATTTTCATTCAACAAGCTGTTAAGTTGATTGTACTTGGAGATGTGACTACCAATCAGTTTGATACTCAAGGAAAGAATGGGGGTTATTCAAAAACTGAAAATTGCATCTTAGACCTAAGTGGATAGGTCAAATGGACTTCAGAGGTTTAAACTACCGTGTGACTTTTTCCCCCCTAAAATGGGAAACAAATTTTTTTTTTTTATTTCATTTGTTACTGTCTGTTCTCTGACTGCCCAACCCCCTAAAGCAAAATAACCAACATCGGCTGAATTGTATGTTTGTAACTGCTTTGACCAGTCTAGTGAAATCATATAACTGTTCTAAATTTCAGAATTGAACATTAAAGTATTTTACTCATCACTTCACATGTCTAGCATTTTAGGTTCCAGAATGGTAGGGCAGATTGACCCTACAGTAATTTATTGTGTTAGTGTTAAAGATGAAGCATTGTAACTGACTCTTGAAGTGTTAAATAGTGTAGAAGTAAAAAGAAGAAGGTTTTAAAAGGCTTACTTTGGGGAGAACTTTTTTCTGTTTACAGTATATTTGTCACCTTCCTTCCCTCCCTTTCCCCCCTCCCCCAAATACAGTTTGGAATTCACTGAAACAGAACCAGCAAGTCATGAGATTTTTTAGTTAAGGTGAGAAAGATGGTTGAAGAAAATTAATGCATAATTTCTCAGTGAAAAAAGTTGTAGCTCTCAAATATTAAATAAGCAAGTTTACATGCTGGTATTTAGAAAATGGCTAAAATATTAAAAACCATGTTGCATTAATCTGTTTTAAGTCATACCATGTTCCAAGTTGTATGTAAGGTGGGGTTTTATTTTGTTTTTTTAGGGATAGTTTGTAATAGTAAGAACTGTCCCTTATGTTAGTGAATTACATATGTACAAATTGAAACTGTAAATTGTGAACACTGGAAAGCACCATTGTGACATAGAGTAAACATCTTAGTAATATATTAAAATGAATGTAAATGGAGGTTAAAATTACATTACTGTGAAACTCATCTTCCAACTCTAAGTTAAGCTTTGGAGATTTGTATTAGGGGATAACTGTTAAGAGCTTTGAAAACACTGCACATTTCTGTACAAGCCAGAATTATTATTTCTTTGTAACTTATTATTCAACTTGGCAATTGCTTTTGATTTGTTGGATTGATAACATGGTATATTATATTTACATAGTTTGAAACTATTCATTTCTACACACTATTTTTTTTTTAATCATCTGCTAGATAAAACATACAATAAAACTACCTGTGCTAAAATTTGGAGAAAGTTTAGGTCCTGTTTTAAAAAAAAGTATTAATAATCATTGACTACATTTATGATAAAAGTGCTTATTTTGGTTTACTTAGATAATGCTGCAGTTGGTGGAAATGATAAACATTTAAAGTATTAACACCCTGTGAATGCATTGAATTTAAGAGAATAAACATTTTGTAAAAATCACTTGGTAAGGATTATAAACTTAATTTAACAATGTGTCACAGATGTAGGCTTGTATTACTTGTATGCTTGTGTGTGATTTACTCTTAGTCCACCAACTTTAGAAATCTAAAGGTTCTAATTGAAACACAAGAAAGGAGCCTTCTTTTGGAAGAAAGCAAGTGTGTTTTTGCTTTTCCTCCAATCATTTTTGAAAGTAGAAATTTAATTTAAAGACATGACCATTTTTTACTTTTTTATAGAATACAGCGTTTTTAATTTAATTTGCCTCATTACATCTAATAGTTTCCATTTGATGGGATGTATAGGGAAGAGTGTGTGTGTGTGTGTGTGTGTGTGTGTGTGTGTGTGTGTGTGTGTGTGTGTGCATTATATATGTATTTACAGTATGTATTTAGCATTTATTTTATTACGGCAGATTTAAGGTTTGTCTCTAAATGGTGCCCATGAGTTGTGTGAAACTGTTGGATTTTTTTCCCAGCATTACTCTGTAACTGATGAGAGTTGGCATTCATTGTAGTTCTACTATTTATTTGGTTCTTTAGTTGGAGGAATTTAAATATCAAGTATTTCTCTTCACCCTTAGGACTTAACATTTCCTTGGGCTATTGGAGGCCAAAAGTAGATATAAATGGTATCAAATGTTGGCACACTGATTTTCTACCATAGTTTTTACTGCATGAAGAGAAAAGAGTCACCAGCTTGTGCTTCATAGACAAGGTCCATAGAGACATTGCAAAACCTTTCTCCATTTTCTATCCTGATAATTAAGGTTTTTATAATATCTAAGTCCTGTTTCTAATCTGAGTAATTTCAGTTTTGCCAAACATGGACATTGGCATTTAAAACAGTGATCCATCTAAATTTTTTTCAACTGGATTTTGGAGGAAGATAAGACCTTTTAGTAACGTAGGTTTATTTTTGTCGTCTTATATGCTCAGTTTGCAGGTGATCAAATGACATGCAGAATTCTGATTTATTGTTTTGTTCCTAAAATTAAGGTAGCTTGAATATTGTTTCACATTCCTTTTTCTTTTGAAATAACTAGGTTTGCTTTGCAACAGGCTTAAAGATGGAATGTTAGCATCTTCGCTGGTGTAAATGAGAAGAAGAAAATTGCTGGAACAGAAAATAGTATTTAAGGCTGGCTGGTTAGCTCAGTTGGTTAGAGCACAGCCTTAAACACCAAGGTCATGGGTTCAGATCCCTGTACCGGCCAGCTGCCAAAAAAAAAAAAAAAAAAGGTATTTAAAACTTAACTGAACACTTTCTTATTAGTTATGGCCTTAATAATTAGTCTCTTGGCTTAAATGTCCACTGGTTTTACTTTGATGCAGTTGAACAACACTGGGATTAAGTCTCTGATATTTGTGTTGGCAATATATATTAACTACATTTTAAAAGTACCAGTTTTTTGTTTTTTTACAGAAAAGATAAAACTCAAAAGAGGACAGTGTATTTCTTTTGAGGGATTTTTATAAATTCTTAACTATAATATATGATGGGTTTTTTCTAATTTTTTATATTTCCTTACAATTTGGTGGCCATTAATTTAACTTTAGGCTTTTTGGCATATGCTGATGTAGTTAGTCCGAGCTTCCAAGAAGATACATAGACATTTCAGTTTTCATTAGCTGAATGAGGACATTTGATTTAAGAAGTTAAAAGAGAATTTGTTTTCAAGTTGAGAGTAAATTCTCTTTTAAAATTCACCTGATTATTAGATAACTTAAAGTTTATTTTTAAAAGCTGAGAACTTTTTATGAATCTTTGAGTAGAGAGTTCCTAAAAGTGTAACTCAGATATCAACAGGCTGTGTTTTTATTTTCAATTTTGCAGCACAACACTTAGTTTATTGTAAAGAAATACCCACATGAACTTTTTTTGTTTTGTTTTTACCTGACTCAGGTGTCCCTTGAGTGACATCTCTTTAAGTGTTGGGGGGTGGGAGTCAGAACCAGTTACCTGGCTTCTATTTTGTCCATTTGTTTAGGTTCATTCCTGTTGTCAAAACTGTCCCCCTAAAAAATGGTGTGACATGCTCATGCATAAAATGTTAAAATGAGTACATCCTTGTATTTGTATTTGTTTTCAACATTGCCAAGGTGCTATGGGAAATTAAAGTAACAAAATTAGAAAAAAATAAAATTATTAAAAAGCAGGACTGGTTTCCTTTTCTCCAGGTGGTGTATGTCTACTGACTACTTCTGTGTTTACTTTTTGATAATTTTGTTTCCCACTCTAATTTCATCATTATTTTGGTCTCAGCTGGGTATTTGGGGGGAGGGAGGATATTTCTTCATAAAATGAGGGCAGAGAGCCAGAAGATTCAGCTTTATGATTCTGGGATTTTCTTTTAATTCTTCTAGTGTCAGACTGAGTTAGGGGGAGAAAAATCACAGGGCAATGTGTAGTTTGAGAATTTTTCCTTCATGGGGCAGATTATGGCCTGATTTGACAATGTGAGTATCAGAGCGAGCTAAAGGGTTTTTAAGGTCTTTTTAAAGGAAAAGTTTACTGGGGAATTTTAATGAATCTTATTGTTATTTTTCAGCATCACGCTCAGCCAGTGAGCCAACCGGCCATCCCCATATGGGATCCGAACCCGTGGCCTTGGTGTTATCAGCACCGCACTCTCCCGAGTGAGCCACAGGGTTGGCCCTTATTGTTATTTTTTATTTTTTTTTTAGCTTTTTAAGGAAAAATGGAAAAGCTGAGTAAATTTCTTGCTTTTTAACAGCTGTTATCTGTAAATTAATGTGACAGCTCAACATTTATTGAATATAATATGTTGCTAAAAAGCACTAGAGTGGCGTTTTCATGGCTGCTAATATTGCAGTTTACTCTTGAATTATGGTAGCAACCTAGGTCTTTTAAATATGGCCTAAATTGAAATTATAATCTCTAATTCTCAGAAACATTTACTATTCTACCATGTTATATGATATGGATATGTTTGTGAATAATGTACGTTATGTAACATTTAATGTGACCATTCACTTTTATAATTACGTGCTCACTAAGTGGCATTGCCCTTTAGCTAAAACCTTTAATTTGCTAATGAGCAGTTATTTTAATGAAGATGGCCCAATGTCAGTGAGCAAAATGGTCCCAGTGAGGACAGATTTACAGGGGTTGAGTGCTAACAAAGCCTTAGGGGCCTTATGTCAGTGTACTAGTGAGTTTTATATGGCCAAGAGAGATGGGTGCATAACTTAAATTTTATATCAGGAATGCAGTATAATTGTGTATTATTTTTAGTGAACTAATGACCAGATTGGTAAATTAATAAATAGGCTTTTGAGTTGTACTTAAATTGGATGGATTTGTCAAGGATCTTATCACAGGTATCTTATGTTTACCTATATTTCTTTTTAGAATAACCTAAATATCATAACTCCAAGTTTTCTTTTTCATTATATACCTGAAGGTAATTTAAATTTTTGTGAAAAGTTTAACAGTTAAGTACTGAATTGTGAATTTTCTTAAATGAAGTAAAAACTATTGAGTGTCTTTAGTTTGTTTGCAGGTTTAAAGGCATGGAGGGGTTTTTTGCTTTCTTTATGCTGCTCTGAAATAAGGACCCCCAGTTTCTTCTGGTCTTGTGGGAAGGAGCTACTTAAGCTTTATTTTTTAAGATTCATTTTTTAGTAGCTGTCCTGCAGGTTTTTGAAGTTGTTATATTTCTCTCCTGTTTTCATGATGTACCTACTTTATCAAACTTAATGAACGATAGTAGGACTCCAGCCTCCATATATTATTACAGTGGCTGTTATTTATTTTTACACACTTGTATTTTGAATGATGTATCTAAATTCTAATTTTGATCTTTTGCATTTTAAATTCTGCCTAAACAAATAATTATCATCTTGACTTATCAAAACGGAGGGTATTGACTTAGCATTGGAGATAATCGTGACAGATGGAGAATTCATTCAACCAATATTTATCATGTCCTAAATAAGATTCCTGCCTTCATGGTGCTTAGCATGAAAAAGTCAAAAATTATTTCAAAATTAGTAGTAGTAAATAATGACAGCTGGAATTTGAATATGTAGGGTTGGCATGGGGCATGGTGCAGGGATGGAATACTTCCTTGAGAAAATGAGAGAACAGATACCTGAAGGACTAGGAGTTAATTAGGAAAGCAGGAGGGGTGTGTTCCAGATGAAGGAATAATCTATACCACTTTGTGGTGCACTGGAAGAATTGTAGGGCCCTGCAGCTACAGCATAGGGAATATTGTTCCATCTTCCAAGATGAGGCTGGAGAAATAGGTAAGAGCCAGACTCCTGGCATTTCAAGGGTGTACATTATTGCAGAAAAAGTGGGAGACCAGTTAGGCTATACCTGATAATATACAGCTGGAGCAAAGTGGAAGATCTGAATGATATATAGAAGTATGATCAATGAGGCACTGAAGATGACTCTTGTTTTTGTGTCTTGTGGAACTGGATGAATGTTTGTTGTTGTTTGTGTCATTCACTATGACTGGATACATTGGCAAAGAATCTTTTTATGGGGAGGGAAAGATTAACTCACACTAAACCAAAATCAATCCTTTCAAGTCCAAGAGTTCATCTCTAGGGTGGTATTAATTAGATTACATTTGCTTTTAGCTAATTTTAAAAGTGACTGTTAGGGACGGAACCAAAAATTATTTGGTTTATATCTGCCCCCTTTTCTCTACCTTGATTGTTGTATCTTTAATTCTAGTTATCCTCTTCCCTACCTGGACAGTCTCCAACCCAGCAACTATTGTGCTAAGCACTTAACATATTTTCAGTCCTCAACAATAATGTCTGACATGTACTGGAGGAATAGAAGTATTAAGCTTGACTAAAAAAAATTCTTTTTGTTACCAACTTGCCATTTTCCTGTGGATCCCTAAAAGACTGACAATTCATGCCTGCCTAAGGAAACTAGTTTTGTCTTAGAAGTTATGCAACACCCCCATAAACATATCTTTAACATTGTAGAATTTGCATGTCTATCAAACCTAT